CAGGTACGATCCTACTAGCCCTCTAAATATATCAACTAATCAAAGTCATTCTGTAATACCTCTACAGCCTAAATACAGCTAGAAATACCCAAGAGTTTAATGTCATCAGCAAACATTAGTGATTATGCCCCTAACAATAATATAATTAATGTCATTTAAAAAAAAAGAAAGTTCAAGCACTGATCCCTGAGGCACTTTGCTAGTAACAAGGGTTCAATTTGATTTGACTTTGTTAATAACAAACTTTTGTTTTCTCCCATCCAATCTCCCTGCAATCCAATTAACAAGTCTTTCTACCATCCCTTACCAGTGTGAATTTCTAAGCTAATCTTTTGTGAAAAGGTGTGGAAACTAGGGGTGTGGTAAAAAAACGTGGGTTGAAATATGGGGATGCTGAGCACCTGCTGGTGACATCAGAAAGATTTTGATTTGCACTTTTTTTTACATTTTATTACTGCATGTTTTAAAAAAATTATGAAAGTGTGAATTGATTCTATCAATATATAAATTCTGTACTTTTTTGCAAATCTTACAGCAACATTGCATAATATTTATTTGTAGCTTACTCTGAGCAAGCATGGCATTAGCCACTTCAGTAAAAAATGTGTTCCTTCTTTAGAAGTTAAAACGGCCTGCAGTATTGTTGATGTTGACTTCACTTAATTAACATGTTTCAATATAATAATGCATGGTTTCAATCACATACAGGGATTACCTGTTTTGGTTCAATGGTTTACAGCACTCCCCACTATAAAAGTTGTTCCAGCATCAAAGATTTTTGAATATTTCATTACTCCAAGTTCGTATGACACCCTTTCCATTGTCAAGATAACAAAGAAACATTCTTTGAAAAAACAAGATAACAGATTAGAGGGCAAGGTTTTCCTTTGGTGAATCCACATTAGCTTTTATTTATGATATCACATTTCACTAAGTGATATTGTAAAGCTTTTTTTTAAATAAGATTCTCCAGAATTTGTCCCACTATATAAATAAGAATAACTGACCTATAATTTCCAGGGCAACTCTTATTACACCCTTTAAAAATAGCAACAACATTAGCAAGTAACTATCCAATCTTTAAGCACCTGCCCATGGTATAGTAGCCTACCAAAAACTAAAGAATGAGAGAGGTTTTGCATATGCGATCTTTTAAAAATCTAGGAAAACATTAACATTCTTCCCATTCAGATTAGTCACCTAATCACTGTCTCTCAAAATATCTTGCAAGTTTTTGAAGGCAACATTCCAGTTCATCTACTCCCATTGGCAATAAACTAGATGGGAGTAGACGAAATGAGAATAAACCTAAAAAAATACAATCATCAGGTTGTCAAATATAGGATAAGATTTAGATACAAAAATTACTTTGGCACAGTTTTAGAAACATTTTTGTATTTATACTGTTTACAACATGATGCAAGCAATAGACTTAAAACATTCACGCATCAATATTTTTTATGCACATGCATATATACACTACAGATATATCACATAAAAAACTGGCTTGTTCTCAAGAAATTATAATACTGCTTTAAAGTTTTTTATTTACAATAAAGGGGCATATCAAGTTTACAGAAAATATATAAAACATATATTTTGGTGTATGATCACATCAGAGTAGACTAAATGGAATAAACCCTTTTTGAAGTTAGCTTTTCTAAAATAAGGGTTGAAACATTTACTAATTCTACTGATGGGTTCAGTAAAATATTGAAAGTAATAATGACATAGTCACAACTACTCCAGTGCTCTCGCTCAACTAAATTTCTAATTTTATACTCCTCAGTACTAAGAGCAAGGCCTAAAATATTATCTGTCTTAGTGTTAGTATTTTTTAAACTACTGAATGAGAATATTCCCAACAATCTCAAACACCTTCAGCCTCATGCATTGAATAAAGATTGAATCATTTTCCTAAAATTAAAGTCACCTACAACAATAGGTTTTTGTGCAAGCATAAATAAACTGTCTGTACATATTAATTATTCCACTTCTAATTCTTATAAATTACAGAGTAAAAAATACAACTACTTAAGCCTTTTTTCCAGTGATCAGTTTGTTTCAAAGCAAGTAATATTCTTATAGCTCTTCTCTAAACAATTTCCAGAAAATTTTTTCTTCCTATAACATTAACAAAAAAACCAAAAGTGAATAAAACATTACAATGTTTAACAAATCTTATACAACGTGCCCATAAACTTTTTATTCTTAAAGCCATGAGTGCAAGTGATTGAACAATTTGAGAATATTTCAACATCCACCCCCCAGCACTTGATGTTTACTTCCTATCACTTGGTGTTTTTTATGTAATCAACAGCTACAAGTAAAAGTCACACCTAACTTGCTTGCTATTTCAAAAAGGAATCTTCCATTAAAACTTTTTAAATCATTGAAGTAACCAGGCAGTGACTTCAAAACTGAGCATATAATCTTAAACATAACTATTAGACATAATACATTTGGGAAGATTTCTGTTTGGCTATGTTACCAGAACAATTTGATACATCATTAAAACTCTTTCATGTACTGGTGTGATGTAGCATTACACTGTATATGCAAAAAAGCTCTTTCAAAACTCTGATTTTTGTAATTATAAAATATCTATAGTGTTACTAAATATCTCTTACTCGTGAGAGTAGAAGATTAATTCTCCAAGATTTCTAATAATAATATTTTAATCATGTTACTAAAAGGGTTCCACTTTGTTATTATTCATTATAAATTTATTATTAGCATACTAATAGTGGTATAATGTCTTCACCATAATTTAAATTGTACAGTTAAGTATAATAGTAAAACTTAAATGCCAATAAAATTAACAGTAGCATAAAATCATGTAATGCCTCTTACACTTATAACACTAATCAACATGTTAATTGGGTATCAATATCATGACTAACCTTAACCAAATTTTAACTTGTTTTGATAATTACTTCTAAAGTTTAATTCACAAAAGTCTTACTTTAGTTATTACTTTATACAAGATACCACTAGCTTAATGTTACACTAACAGCAATAATTCAATGGGAACAATTTGTTATATGTACTTATTTTCTATTGTAGTTTAAATATTTACAGAAAAACTGACTTCATCATGTGAAGTATACAATTAAAAATATCATAAGTAAGCTTTTGTAACACAGAGAGAAAAAGAACCATGTTTCATCCCCATAAAGCACAAATGTGGTACACACATTTATAAATTATAATCTCAAGGTTTTTGTGCTTCAAACTACATGAACAGCATAGTAACTATTATTGCTGAAGAGTGATTGATGACTAATTAATGGACTTTGTGGGGAGGAGGAGGCAATTTTCTGCTTTAACTATAATACAATTACTTTAAGGTGGATACTATTAAATTTAACTACTTTAGCCAACTGGTTCAGATACAGGCTAAACCAAAAAAATCTAATTGCCAGACAAGCGCTGAAGTACAGAGAAGCTAATTTTGACTTCACATATAATATGTAATCCCTAGCTAATGAAACTAATTAGCCTAGTAGTAATGCAACCTAATACAGCCCATAAAACTAACACTAATGAGTAATGTTAGTCTTCGTTTCATCTTAACTTTTTCGTGTTGTAATTTGTAAATCAGGGTAACACATGCTGACTGAGCATGATAAGAACAGTTTAACTTTAAGAAGCCTAACTTCCTAAGTAAGGAAAACAATATTTTATTATAATTCCTAATTACAAATCAGATACAATTAAATTGTTCTACACTATAAATTTGAAATTTATACATAGTAAATATCTTTTAAAAGATCCACAAGGAATTCAAACATAATAATAAAAAAACAAGCTAACAAATTTTCAAAAGCTTCACCTTGAAATCTTCAGGCTTACAAAACAATGACCTTGAACATGGAACCCGATAGATGGCATTCTGAAAATCTTTGTTGATTCATTTTATGTTTTTTTTTCTTTCGTGTTATTTTTATCAGTTATTAATTTATGTGCTTTGTTTGTTATTAAGCCCAAACCTAAGCAATGGGCTGTCTGTGTTTTTGCCCCTAACGGGTATCGAGACCAAAGTTTTAGCGTTTTAATCCCTCAGTCTTTCAGCTGAGCCACCGTAGACTTATTAATTGTACATGAATAAATAGAAATGGTACGTCTTTTGTTCCCATTATTATAATATAATTTAAGCAACTAATATTCCTGCACAAGATAAATATTATTGAAATCATACTTACAAAAAATTTGTTAAATCATCTCTTGCAGGTTAAAAAAATACTAAAAAAAGGCGAGTTATATTAATTTTTGTGGTGTGCATTTAGTTGATTAGTTGTTATTCAGGGCAAAACTACACAATGTGCTATCTGTGCTCTTCCCAACACAGGTAACGAAATAAGATTTTTAGCGCCCTAATCCTACAAACTTACTGTGGAGTCACTGGGGGGACTGGTGTACATTTAAAGTTGTTTACAAAAAAAAAGGAAAATTTTTTAAAATATGTACGTTTTTATAAAATTGTTACAGCCGATTTTCTTTTTTAATGTTAAGAAAGTATGGCTACATCAAATGACACAATGACAATGGTTTTCTGTTTCATGTAGAAGTTTGTTTAACAATATTTCATCTATTTTAACTTTTTGTATAAAAAATATTATATATACAAGGTATTGTTTGAAAAGCATCGCTACCTTATTAAAATATAGGAAAATACTTTCGAACTGGGCTAATTCTGTTGAGACAAAACTTGATTTGTTTGACTGAACTTTATACAAGCAAGAATACACGAGACAGAAAACAAAAACCAAACATATATATATATGTGTATACACACAGTTCAGGTTTCTGGTTTATTTCGCGGCTCTTCATTTAAATACAATTTTGCCTTTGGCTATATTAAATTTTAGAGAGAAAAAAAACTTTAAAATGTGGCGATAGTAAAACGTGGTGTAAGATTTTAATAATTTTATCAAATTCAATCTTCATTTTGATTTGAAACATTACGCATGTGCAAAGGGAACATCATAAAAGTTATTTTGTCATCCATCACATCATAAGGCGGGGCTAGCGTAGAGGGATTTTCACGCTTAGCAAAGTGATTGACAGCCATCTGCGACTGAAATGTGACTATGGTATTCACCTGTGATTGGCTGAAATTTTACGATGACGTAATTTTCGTCACAACAGACGCTCATCTTTTATGGTGAAGTGGCTTGACTGGCATTATCGTTCAACCCACCCTGAAGACTCTCGCTGGCCGTCAAAAAGTATTCCAATCAAAACACTCAATCGTAGTTGGTTTACAATAACGTGTGTAAAACTCGCAGTTTTATGGATAGTCGTGCGCCTGTGCTGTGGTGAAACGTTTATGTTGGAGACAGTGTATGACCTTCGCTAGACGGACAGCCACGCCGTTGTGTCTGTTCGGTGAGGGTGGTGTTGAAGCATGGACGATCAGCAAACAATGATGCATCCCGTTTCTCAGCATCCTACGGTCGGCATGGGAGGTCATGTAGTGCCTCAACATACTTATGGTATGGATCCTACAAATCAACAACACACTTCGGATCAGGAAGTGCGTAAACATGATATTTCCGAAATTCTTCAACAGATCATGAACATTACGGACCAGAGTCTTGACGAAGCTCAGGCGAGGTACGTTCGCGGGGTTTTCCGCTACGAGAGTAACTTATCTTGCCTTGCTCTTCAGTGTCTTCACCGCGTGATGTTTAGTTTAGGCTTAACATTTTACTAATTTTTGAGAGATAAATATGTAATGTTAATGTTTCCATTTTATTTTCACAGGAAACATACACTGAATTGCCATCGAATGAAACCAGCACTCTTTAGTGTTCTGTGTGAAATCAAAGAGAAAACAGGTAAGTGTATTCAAAAGTATAGTGATTTCTAGGCGAACACAGTGAACCCTACTGCATGGCTATCGCCATCTTGTGGTGATATTTAAAAGTCGTAATTTTAGTAATTGAATGTCTTTACCCTTTTAAACCTTACAATTTCAATACTTGTTTATCAAAAACACTTTATCACTTTATTTCTAGACTATATAACAATAGTTTAACATCCAAATAATATTTAACACTATTTATTTAAGGAAAGCTAAATATATTTCTTATAAGCTTAAAACTCAATCCCATTAGACTCAGATCTTGTTAAGTGAAAATCGAAGGTGTTTAAATATTAACGGAGTTTCGCAAAAAAACTTTGCACCCACTAATTAAATAGCGCATTTATGTAGATCCGTGAGCAGAAAAATAACAATATTTCTTTCAGTATCTGAAAAAAAACAACAACAACTAAATATTAAACATATTTTTGTAGTTAATCGTGAATCCAAACTGTTTTAAGAGAAACAAAGGAATAAAACACACGCATATATCCTTCGTATAGCCAATGTTACTATAACAAAAGCTCTTTAAATAGTTGGAATAAGTGAATTAAAATGAAAGTTAATATAAAATAACTCGCGAAGTGCTTTCATGCGGTGGCAAACTTCCTGCTTTCATAACCGTAATTGAGACATCCTTGTGATATTTCCAGAGTAACAAATAACAAAATACTGTTTTGATCGAAGTTAATAGTGTTGATTGCCTTTCTTAAAAAAATAACAAAAGAGATAGGTTACATACGTACTATAGCATACTGCAAGATTGAATTTATTAAAAGCGAATTTTTCCATGCCATTGCATCCATATTCACAAAATACTTGTTCATGTTACATCCCAATAGAATGTAGATAACCCAGTGTAAGGGAGATGCTCCTAATCGAGAATTTATATTTATTTCTTCTTCTAAGGCCCAATAGCAAAAACTGTGGAATTTTCACTTTGCTGTGCTGAAATGTTTTATTTCCAAAGTTATACTTGGAAATCCGCGAATATGTCCAGTGTATTAAATATTTAGTTGTGTAAATAACGAAGAAATTTATATACTGATATAAGTGATATTTTGTAGAAGTATATATTATGCGTGTATTTTGTTTATTGTTCAGTACATAGGAAGCTTGTCTTTTAGATTTCCAATTTAACGTGAGTGTATTTGAACTATTACACTCACTTTATGTGTCTTAGTGATAGTTTTTCCCGAATTTCTCAGTGACATTTTAATTATTTTATAGTCACTTCGTTGAAATGTTTGACTATTCGTAACCAGTTTCATGACATAAGTATCACTCTCCAGGTGTACATTAGGGCATTAAAATCTTGTTTTTTTATGAACGAAATTTATAGTTCTATAAATTTAATATTTCATTAAAAGGCTTCGAGTAAAGTTTAATTCATACAGTAACATTTTCATATAATATATATATATATATATATAATATATCCATATTTCCGAGTATTATATTGAATTTAAAATCTCAAAAGTATACATTTCTGATGAATTTTACACTGATGTCACTGAAATGTGAAGTTGATTTTATATTTTTTTTATATTGTAAGATGTTATTTGTTACAACAAAATAACGCATATCGCCCCCAAACGTATTCGCCAGTTCACAACTTCAAAGCTACTGAAAGAAGGTACCAATTTACCGTTTACTGAATAACTTGGTGATGAAAAGTTTAGATGGTGCATATGTTACGTGTACTACACAAATTTTGAAATGTAATGAAATTTGATGAAAATGCATGAAATTATCTTTAGCATATAGCACTTCACGTGAGATTCTAGGACAGCTATCATCCAAATGAAAAATCTTTGCTTTTGTTAAAAAAAGAAAAACGCTCTGAGCTTCTTCGGGTCCTAATGCTAGTAATTTAGTTTTTATCATTTTTTTTCTGACCGTGAGAAATGCAGACGTAAAATCTTGCACTGTACTACAGTGAATTGACTGCAAAAACGAAATCCAGTTTTGCTTTTGATTTAATTTATTGAGAAAATTTACAATTTTGAGAACATTGGATTAAATATTATGTTGAAAGATTGCTAAACTGCAGTGTAGTTCCATAGCTTGAGGCAAGGAAAGTAACGTTGCATGGCTGGAGCTTCGATTGGCAGATATTATAAACGTTATTAGTTGACATTGCAATATACAGCTGGTCAGACTTCCATATAACAATAACATTTCTAACAGTTTTCTAATATAAAAAGTACATTAATAAGTGTACCCGATGTTTTAAAGACATTGTTAAATGTTTAGTGCTTTGATAAACTTTCATGCATCTTTTTGCTGAAGAGAATATGTTTAACTAGGAAAACGTAATTTAACCATGTTTGATTCCAAGTCTAATTTTGCAATGGATATTCTCGAAATGTACGCTATAGAGACTTTTGTAGCGCTATATATATATATATAACTTTAATATTCTCTTCAGATTTTGTATATTTTTTATAAGAAAAACGTTACCCATTTGACTAGACAATATATATCTCTGTATATACGTGTTAAATATTTCTTTTCCTTTTCACTGGAGGTGAAATTGAAAATATAATCTGTGACGTAGAGGCATAATGCATTTCTTGATTTGACTCAAAATCCCATAGATAATATATCAATGTTACTATTAAATAACTAACTACTTTTACATTTCAACTATTACGTAATGCCAGAAGATCCGTGAGGGTGCGTTTTGAAAAATACGCTATGATATTTTATTTATTAAAAGTATTTATTAAAAAAAGTGATTGGAGATGATATTTTAAGATCAAAAACACAAACTATTACAAACAAATATGAAAATCATTGCGAAAATGTGGGTGTAACCTGATAAACGAATCGTGTCATTTGCATGCATATTAGTGTCTGTTTAACAAAAATACTTAGTTTTGTAAATGTAAACAACAGCTTCTAAAAATACAGACATCACCTTTTTTTTTTCTCATTAAAACGACGAACTGTAAATTACAGCACAGCACAGGACAGGACAACAATACAAAATGGTGTCAGTTTCCTACAATTCACATAGTTGTTTTGTTTCGTTATACAAGTATATGCTTTCAACTTCAGACCTCTAGTTAATTTTAGCTGTTAACTACTGTTAGGGAAAGTCATCTGAGTATTTCATTCACAGTTTATCGTTTTAATGTACCTATATGCGATAATTAAAAGAAAAGTAAGTTATTAACTTTTCCCCTATAATCACATGTTTCCGAATTTGAAAGTATTTTTCTCGTTGATCGTTATATTATTGTATAGAAATATTTTCATTTGTAATAGGCCTGTTTTTTAAATTTAATTTTCGGGTGCAGTAAAAAAAATACATTTTTATTTTGTGGAAAAGTACTATTAAGGTAATGTGTTGATGTTTTTTCTTCTTTGATTATAATAACATTTCTAAAGTTTGAGTTACATTTATATTGTGGTTGGATGGAAAAGATATAGTCACAGATATGGAAAAGATATGGTCACAGATATATTAACGTGTAGTACCCAAATTATTTGCTCCCAAGTAGCTCAGCGGTAAATCAGAAGGTTTATATCGCCAAAAACCGAGTTTCGATAACCGCGGTAGGCACATACAGATAGCTCATTGTGTATCTTTGTGTTTAACTACAAATAAACAAACACTAATTATTTTACAGTTTATTGTTAAGCTCGTTGCCGATGAACAGTACAGGCTGACTAACGCGCTTGTTGTTTTGACAGCAAAATTACAAGCTTAAATTGAATGTTGGCCAGGCTATATTAAAATATTATCTTTGGATCATAGATCTGTATAATAGCAAGTGATATTTTCAGTGGTGTTGTTTACTTGTTGGTCGGCCAGGTGGTCAGGGCGCTCGACTCGCAATCTGAGGGTTGCGGGTTCGAATCCCCGTCCCATCAAACA